AACACTTAGTCTCAATACCTGGACTTTCTCATATGTAAAATGGGAACAATGATGATTACTATGTTGCAGGATTGTTTCTTAGAGTCAGTTAACAGTGAGATATTACCTCAGGAGTTACTCACCAACCTACGGGAAAACTGAACTTTCCTAATCATTTGGTAACAGCCACAGCTCACAACAGCGCCTCTCTCTAGAATTTAGAGGATTCTAATGTCATCAGTTGATAACTTGCCCCTAAGTATTTGCTGGGTGTCACCTTCCTTCCTTGACAGTTTTGTCCTGCTCTCTACTGGAGCTGTGGCCTGTTTGCAAGTAGTTCCCAGAGAAAGTTTCCAGGCCCCACCCTCCCCTGAGGTTCCCCAGGGCGTCTCTATAGTTATAGTGTCCCCTCAAGCCTGTTCCCCAGGTTTCCATGATTGACGGGTTCCTTCATCTGCCCATCCACCTGGACTTGTCTGCCTCTTCCCCAGAGCCTTATCTATTGACTTAGTAATTGTCGTGGAAAGGATGAGAGCTCTCTATCCTTTTTATAAGAGTTGGAAATGTAAGAGTTGGAAATGTAGATGGCTGACATTTCCTGGGCTCTCCACCTTTGAAAACAGGGCAGTTTCTTTTTTCCAATCCTGTCTCTTCACCATTGTTTCATGAATTGGGAAATAAAAACAAAACTAAATTGTTGCTGTAATAACTTCAGCGACTACCTCCGGGTTCTTGGGTGCCTCAGGTTCCTTCACTTACTGCATGAAGTTTAGTGGGACCCCCTGGTGCAGGCCTCCTTCCCACTGCGCTCTGCTGGCTGCGCACCCGGCCAGCGGCGCCAGAGGTGCCCAGGTTCCCGCGAGCACCGCCGGCCCGCGAGCGCCACCTTGTGGGCATCGACGCTGCCTCTGAAAAAGCGTTCTGCTATCCTGACACCAGGCTCTGGGAAACGTAGCCAAAATTACATTCTGGATAATTATGAAATGGCTGTCAGCCAGACTTATTATGAATAATTTATCTCTGAATTTAAATAGGGCAGGCGTCTTTTTCCTGATTCAGATTCTTTTTTATTGAGAAGCAGCTACTATATTTTTAAGAGGGACTTTTGAATGACTGATTCTGTATTTTCCATGTATTTGTGTGAAAAAGAATAATTATACATTCTGTGTAGTACATCAGAGGATTCAGCTATTTTTTACCCCTATTTTTTCTTTTTTCACATGACTTTTTTCATAATAAACAAAGTCAGTATAAAGTCTTACTACACAGAATTGGTCCCTGGACCAGCAGCATCAACACCACCTGGAAGCTTCTAAGAAACAGGGAATCTCAGTCCTTGCTCCAAATGTGCTGCATCAGAATCTGCATTTTAGCCAGGTTCCCCAGCAATGCCTGCACACGACAGTTTGGGAAGCCCAGGTGACAGGAGTCAGATAGAAGATCTGTGTTCTACTCCCACCTCTGCTATCTCTCTACTCAACTAATCTGAGCTCCTGAGTCACATCTTGGCTAATTGCAATGGATCCTGTTATGGGAGAGGGTGAGATCATGGCTCCTGTCTTGTTTGACACTGGCTCTGCTGAGGAGGAACTGAAAGTATATGGGAGGTTACTTTGTACATTGCAAAAAAAAACTGTGAAAATGAGAGGGACATCAGAAGAGAAAATTCTCATGTTTCGTTCTCAGCTATCAAAGAATTGGTGTTAATCAACTGTATCAGCAGCAGAGGAAATATTCAACTGTAATCTGTTCATCATGCTTCAAATGGTGTCTCAGTTGATTGCACTAACTCTTTCAAAGGTCTCTATCAGGCCAGTCTTCCTAGAGCTCAGAATAATAAAATTACAATATGCTTTCCTTAACAAGACCTTTCACACTCTGACACACTTGCCATCCTGGGGCCCTAGAAGCATTCCCCCTGTGGAGCCCAGTGTGGGGCACAGCAGGTGCTCAATGATTCTTGTTGATTAAACCACTAATTAGCCCTCAGCAAGGCCTGAACAGTAACCTGATGTCCTTCACACTAATCGTGCCGTTTATGATAATCAGATTATTTGCATCATTAGAGACTCGACATAGCTACATGAGGACTCGGTTGTCTCACTAATATATATCAAATATTCATTAAGGAAATAAACTCCTGATGGCTGAGAAACCCTTTGGTAGTACATACAGGGCGAAGCAGGTGAGATCCTTAATTGTTCACAAACACCATTTCCTTTACTGTAAAATGAAAGAGGGGAACAAACAAAAAACTGGAAGCAAAATACTACCCTCTTCTCCTTGCATACATTTTAAAAGAAAAATTAATAGTGAGAAGCTGTTGAACAATAAGTAGGTGAAATTTTAGGAAAACATATTTTCTAACGTCCTAAGATTGATAAGAGATAATAACATTTGTGTTGCCCTTGCACCCCCGTGTCTCTTACTCTCTGATGCTATTGTCAAACCATGAAAGTGAATTTTTTGGGGGGGTGGGCAACCAGAAATTGAACCCAGGAGTGCTTAACCACAGAGCCATATACTCAGTCCTTTTTATCTTTTTATTTTGAAACATGGTCTCACTAAGTTGTTTAGGGCCTTCCTAAGTTGCTGAGGCTGGCTTTGAACTTGTAATCCTCCTACCTAGCCTTCGAAGTTTCTGAGATTATAGGCATGCACCACCACACCCAGCATGAAAGTGAAATATTGAGAATAACATTTTACAGTTTTCCATCAAACTAAGATGCAAAAATACTTAATTCAAATTAGGTTAGACTCTTGTGTTGTCTACAATTTGTGAAATTATGGACATTTTGGCCCTAATTACAAAATGTAGTAAAATTACACTATTTTTAAAAATCTGATTCATTGCAATTAGCAATGTTCTCTCCGACCTTTTAAAAGAATTCAGAATGTCAGTGTTTCAAAATTACTTTTCTTCACATTAAGATGTAATTATAATAACTTGTATTAAGTCAATATAATAATGTAATTATATAATAAGTGTATTATAATATCTATGGCAAATTTTATATGAGGGAACATAAACAGTCATGCCTGTACATATGAAGATGGGCATCTAGCAGAGTCTGATCCTGGGATGCAAGGTGCGGAACTCACTCATCCCTGAATATGTTACGGTCTAGTATGATGCCTGGCAATGCTTCATAAGAATATGTTTAATAAAAGTTGTGGCAAGAGCTATAACACTACCTTTTTAGTTTTCCCCAACATTTTAACTTAAACAATTTCAAGCCAAGAGAAAAATTGCCAGAAAAAAATAAAGTACACTGCAATACATCAAGAATCGCTGTTCACTAATACGTTTACATTTATTCTCTTTCTCCTTCCCACCTCTGCCAGTCCACATGATCAAGTCACGACTTGCACATAGTTGACAGCAAAATGATCAAATCCAGGAAACTTTGACATCGGTACATGCTCTCAACTAGTGAAGTCCCAATTCAATTTTGTCAGTTGTCACAGTCCTTCCTTTGGGTAGTATTTCTACCTTGACCCCAGGTCTAACCCAGGTTCACTCATTGCATTTAACTATTGAACTTTGATGTCTTTTTAAGGGCAATAGTTCCTTAGTTTTTCCTATAGTTCCTTAGTTCTTCCTCATCTTTAAAGACATTAACAGTTTTGAAAAATACAGCCTGTGCTTGCTCCCAATTAGATTGAGATTATGCATTTTTGGTAGAAATACCAAGTATTTTGTATTTGTAATACTATATATTTTGGTAGAAATACAACACCAAGGACGTGATGTAAGATATTAAGTATTACATTGGTAGGCACATAATATCAGTCTGTTCTACAGTTGGGGTTGGTAACATTGATCCCTTGGTTAAGGCAAAATCTGCCAGACTATCCCTTTGTAGTTAATAATTGACCTCTGGGGCGATCTTGAGACTCTCAATTCTATTCCTCAGTGCATTTACTAAGCCATTTTAGCATCCATTCATGGTCCTTGCCAGAATCAGTTATTACTGATTTGGTTGAAAATGGTGTTTTATTCCTTTGCATTTATTCCTTGGAATTCTATTATAAAGAATAGTTTTACCTTCTGCCCTTTTAGGTACGTGGTGTGCATGTGTGTGTGTGTGTGTGTGTGTGTGTTTAATTTATTTATGAATTTATCTTTGTAAGTTTCAGTAAGGGTTTGCAGGCTTTTTTATTCACTTGGTTATCATCATTCTCATTATTTACTTTGATGCTCACATTGTTGCAACTCTGCCCATTGGAGTGCCCCTTCCATCTCACTCCTGTGTTTGTTTGCCATAGCCCCATTGGCTTATGAGTATCATTTATCATTTATTCTTTAAACTTTAGCATATCTGGATGGATACAGACATAGAAACAGATATTGATAGCCTTAGCCTATCTTCATTCAGTAATCACCCAAACGACAGATGTAATTCTCACAACAAATTCTTTCTTTTCTTTTTGTTTCTTTTGGTTGTTTGTTTGTTTTTAGTTACGGCTATGTCTTAGCTGCTGATCTTACAACGCATGATGATAAATTATAAGTAACATGTTCCATGGGAGCAAAAAAGAAAAGCTCCCAACCCCTCTGGGTCATTTAAAGAAGATTCCAGGGAGAATGTGTCTTACCTCCGAGGCCTGAAAGATGCACCCATGTGGAGTGTGTTCCAGACTAGGAAAGCACATATCTTTCTGAGAAGCTGAGGGAGTTTTTAAGGTCTAGGATAGTGAGTGCGAGTGCGTGTGTGCTGTGTTTGAATAGGTGTTGGAGACCCTGGGGAGAGACAGGGCCAGGGTAGTGGGTTGGGTCTCAGCCTTGGGCTGCACATTTGCATCCCCTGGGGAGCTCTTCAGAAATACCAGCAAGGCACCCCATCCCAAACCACTTCAGCGGGGATCTTTGGGGTTAGGTGGGGATGGGGACTCCAGGGTCCCTACATTTTAACCTCCATACCTAGCTTCTAGAGGCCTTATCATAAGGATTGGTGCCAAACACCACAGAGCGAAACCCTTCAAAACTGAAATTTAAAAAAATTCATTTTATTTTATAGGATTTTGAACTCAACAATGAACTAAAGATGAATGTCCTAAATTTGCTAGAAGAAGTCTTACGAGACCCAGACCTTCTTCCCCAGGAAAGGAAAGCCACAGCCAATATCCTGAGGTAAAGGCAATTGCAGGCGCTGACTGAAGTACATTGGCGGATTTGTGCTATGTTCATAGAAAATAAGATGCTGCCAAACCAGAAGCATGAATCGTAGAATCCTGGGGGCAGCAGGGATTGTGTCCTGACTGGTAAAGTATTACCTGTCATCTTCTCCTTCTTGGGGACAAGTACGGGGCCTGCTGTCTCAGGGCGACTGTGGGTGGGCGACCTAACCCGTGTGGAGTGCTGTTGCTCTTCTTTGTGTGGACAGATGGTCCACTGTAGACCCAAACCTGAAAGGAAGGAAGCCTTGAGGATCCCTATTTGTGAGTCCAGAAGGTGTTGCAGAGAAAGAGTTTTCTGTGGGTTCTAACTCTTTGGGGGTTAGCACCTGCTTATGGGTGTAATGGTGGTGTTCCTTGGGCACCTGTGTTGTGGATGAGCCACCATGGAGTAGATATATGTTTTATTTTAGCTTATTCCACTGGTCCTAGGACAATTTTCTGCCACCTTTTTGGCTTAGGATTTCCACATCAGGTGGGTTGTATAGCCATGGGAGTTTGTGTAGAGCATGAACTCACACGTCTATGTGATCAAGGCTGGAGTTTCGCACTGGAGACTTGGCTGTGTCTGTAGTGGTTACACTCAGAGTCCAAGGGGCTGACAAGCTTTCTAATGGCTTCTTGAGTGAGTAGGTGGTTTCCTTCTAGGCTTCTCTACCTTAAGAGTGCAGCCATCAATGGCTTTGTGCGGACATTTCAGTTACAGCCTCCCAGATACTCTTGGCCATGTCTCTCATCCCTCGTTCAGAGTGGGAAGTCTGCCATCTATCTTCCAGCACCTGGTATTCCTTTACCATTCTGATTTCTAGTTCCTTCTGACAGTCTCTGGAAATGGTCTTTTCTCTCTTCTCTCTTCAAAGTATGGCTACATTGTCTACTTTTTTTGTTTTTGTTGTTAACATATTATCCAGAAAGCTGGTGTGTGGAGGAGAGCCCATCTTAGCTCAACGCACCATGTTTTTGCAAGTCCCTCCTTGATGTAGCAATGCCAGATTTTGGTTTGTGATGTGTTTGCAACCAGCCTCTAAATTATTCTTGGTTCCCATTAGCTGAAGATCCCGTAGCCAGACAATTCTTTAGTGTAGGGGATGTTGTGCCTCCCCACCAAAAAAAAAAAAAGGTACGTTGAATTTCTAATCTCTGATACATCAAGATGCGACTCTATGTGGTGATAAGACCACGGCAGAAGTGATCAGTCAATTCTAAGTCATAGGGCAGTCGTGTGGGCCCCTGATTGACTATGACCATTGTCCTTATAAGAAGACAGCCATGGAAGACTGAGAGACACAGGGAGAGACTGTGTGTAGATGGAGGTTAGGTGGAACCCTGCAGCTGAAGATCGCTGGCAGACCACCCGAAGCCTGGGCAAGGAAAGGAAGGACAGACTCCCCTACAGGTTTCAGAGACAGCACGTCCTGGCACTCAGCTTCTATCCAGAACTGTGAGACTAGGCTGTCCACGTCTGCCATTTTAAGCCAACCACTTTAAGACAGTTTGTTAGGACAGCTCTAGAGAACTCTAAGATGTCTATGCATCACAGTTACGTATCAGTGAGTTGTAAATACAAAGCATGTACTTAAGCATATACTTAAAGACTTCCTTGGTGGGTTTTTTTCTTCTTTTTTCATTTTTTTATTGGTTGTTCAAAACATTACAAAGCTCTTGACATATCATATTTCATACATTAGATTCAAGTGGGTTATGAACTCCCATTTTTACCCCAAATACAGATTCAGAATCACCTCGGTTACACATCCACATTTTTACATAATGTCATATTAGTGACTGTTGTATTCTGCTACCTTTCCTATCCCCTACTATCCCCCCTCCCCTCCCCTCCCATCTTCTCTCTCTACCCCATCTACTGTATTTCATTTCTCTCCTTGTTTATTTACCTGTTCCCCTCACAACCCCTTATGTGTGATTTTGTATAACAATGAGGGTTTCCCTCCATTACCATGTAATTTCCCTTTTCTCTCCCTTTCCCTCCCACCTAGTGTATCTGTTTAATGTTGATCTTTTCTTCCTGCTCTTCCTCCCTGCTCTGTTCTTGGTTGTTCTCATTATATCAAAGAAGACATTTGGTATTTGTTTTTTAGGGATTGGCTAGCTTCACTAAGCATAATCTGCTCTAGTGCCATCCATTTCCCTGCAAATTCCATGATTTTGTCATTTTTTTGTGCTGCATAATACTCCATGGTGTATAAATGCATTTTTTTTTATCCATTCATCTATTGAAGGGCATCTGGGTTGGTTCCACAGTCTAGCTATTGTGAATTGTGCTGCTATGAACATCGATGTGGCAATATCCCTGTAGTACGCTCTTTTAAGAACTGTGAGACTAGGCTGTCCACATCTGCCATTTTAAGCCAACCACTTTAAGATAGTTTGTTAGGACAGCTCTAGAGAACTCTAAGATGTCTGTGCATCACAGTTACGTGTCAGTGAGTTGTAAACACAAAGCATGTACTTAAGCATATACTTAAAGACTTCCTTGGTTTTTTTCATGTTATGAAAGCATCCAGGTAAGCTTAGGAGTTCAGTTACTGAGTCGATGTAAGATTTTTAAATTATACACATGTATTGAGGCAAGTCTCTGAGGGTAGTGATTATGTCTGGGAGTGATTGTTCTTCCCTTTCCCTTCATGTTAACAATTGGTTATGCCCTTTTTTTTTTTAAAACACTGACATTTTGAAATTACCTTCTGGAAGTTTATGCTTCTAGAGACATTCGACTAAATAGCTGTCAGGGAAATGAAGGTGTTGGGACTGGGAACAACGGTCAGAATTGCCAACATGAGCACTCCTGTCCTCAGTCCCTGGAGATACTGCTGCCAAGTGCCAGGCATTACTAATCGATCCTGGGAGTTTTCCCTCTACTCCCAGAGGCAACCTCAGAAACCAGTGAACTGGGGTTAGTACTCCAGATGAATCCTATTTACCAACCCAGTTCATTATTATTCATCAAGCCTAGTATGCACTAGTTCTCTTTGCTGAATAACAAACTGAGAACTACAAGTGTAAGGCCAGAGGAAATAGACATTTTAGCAGACCTACAGTCTGCTTAAAATGAGCAGAGCCTAATTCTGACTTTTGTGGGATCTTGCAGTGTTAAATCTTGGCTTAGGCCCTTAACGGTTTCAAGTGTCTTAACTAGTCTGAACCCCGGTTTCCTCATGTATAAAATAGGGCTAGTAATAATTATCCCATTGGGTTGTTGTGAAGACTACATGGCGTAAAACGTTAACTCATTTTACAGCAATTATTATTGTTACTATTTGTTATTGTTGTTGTTGTTATTATTATTATTATTATTATTATTATTATTATTATTATAAACACTGAGAGCTCTTGGAAGAAATACTTTTTGTCATGCAGGTGGGATAGCCCAAGTGAAATATGACTAAATCTTAGTCAGACTCAACTTTCCTTAGGTTTCATCACCTTGTCTACACAAAGAGAGAGTGGACTCCTATGAGGACACTCTTGGCTCTGTTTTGGACTACCTATATTTTCATCATTGAAGAATGGATTTTCCATGTATTTCTTTCTGAGTTTATTTGGTGTTTCATCTTAAATGCACAAATCTTAGACTAATCATACTGCTGATAAATGTGGGGGAACCCAGGATCCTGGATGTTGATCAAAACCCAAAGATAGTCAGGAGCTGAGCTGTGTCTCCTTTGTAGGGCCTAGACCATAGATGTAGAGGCCTCCACATCTGAAAGGGAACAATTTGGAACAGAAGCGAAATCAGTTTATGCTGTGAGAGGTAAAAGCGTAACACGTTGTAGTTGAATGTAGCACTCACATTAGAGATGTATATGCATCACAGTCACGTATCAGTGAGTTGTAAACACAAAGCATGTACTTAAACATATTGCATCAGTACTCTGAGATAAGCCATCCCTGACTCTCAGTCTCTTGGGGCTTACTTAATGGTGAGTGAACATAATTTCTATAAGTCTGTCTCCCTGTTTGAGAATGAAAACATCTGCTTAGGACTTTTGCATTTCAAAGTTGTCTAGCTAATTATCTATTCAAAAATCTTCCAAATGTATTCAATGTAGAGTTTTGCAGACATTTAACATGCCACCAAATGAGATGATAATAAACATCCTGGAAGGTCAACCATGATAAGCTCAGGTCATGAAAAGATCACCCCCAAAACTTAGCATCCCAAATAGCACCCATAGGAAGACAGGAAATTTCAAATAGCTTAATGAACCAAAGTGTGTCTTAGATATCAGCATAAGATAATGGAGAAGAGCAACACTAGCGAGGAGGTAACTTCCTGACCATTTTTTTTCCCCAAAGGAAAGATTGTCCAGGCTCATAAAAATGTCTTTCCCACTGTCACATGTAGTGGGTCCACAGACCTCCCTCCAGAATCTAACATACAGTGGAAAGAATGATGTGTACCTTGGGAAAGAGTCACATTTGTCTCCTCTGTGTAACCTTCAAATGCAATTGAATAGTTTTTGGAGAAAGAACCATATTTGATTCAGTTTTTCCTTGGTCTGCCTTTTACTTTACAGTGATTCTTTCTGCTATATGGCTCATTGCTGAGAGTCTTGTAATCTAGGATTCTCTGTGAGGGGTTTTGAAAGAGGAAAGGAAGGTAGAGGGACAGGATTGGCATTTATTGGTCATCCTCTTTGTGGGATGCTTGGAGAGAGGCCTTCCGTGAGCCTGAGTATGAGAAGCATTGAGTAAGAGGAGAACACAGCTAGACTGGAATCCTGGGCCAGTAAGTTTCTTTGGCTTTTGTTTCCTTATCTGTAAAATGGAGATACTGCCTGGTTAGAAGGGATTATGGTGCAGGACATCACACACTTGGCATGTGTTTGGCATGTAGTGGGCATACAGTAAACCATCTCTGTTGACTTGGTATAGTTGAGGATTGGTGGATTTTATTTCCATCAACTATGAACAAGCAGAATATCACATCATTATTACTTTTAAAACTTGCATCTTCCAAGGAAATCAGGCAGCCTCTGAAAGCTGGAAGCAAGCACTTGGGTTCTTCTCCAGGGCCTCCAGAGGGAAAGCAGCTTGCTTGACCTGGTTTAGACTTCTGACTCCATATCTGAAAAATAATAACGGGTCTGTGGTTTTTTAAGCTTTCCTCTCCTCTCCCAAAAAACCTAGCATGCTCCAGTAGACAGGCTACAAGGTTTGGGACTGCTTAAATATTTTAATACTTTTTATATGTGCTTACACTTTCATTTTGGAAAACTGAAAATGCTTGGCCCCAGATGACCTATTAGAGAACTGGATGCCCACTTGGTATGATTATCCTGGATTCTGAACTTTTTTAAAAAAATATTTTTTAGATGTTGGTGGACCTTTATTTTACTCATTTATTTATATGTGGTACTGAGGATCAAACCCAGTGCCTCACACATGCTAGACAAGTGCTCTACCACTGAGCCACAACCCCAGCCCTGATTTTGAACTTCTGTTGGACATAAAGTATCCACCCATTTTGGTATCTTAGGTGTTAACTTATGTATTAGTTATTAATTCACTCATCATTTACCAACAAAAATAAAGATATGTAGAGAGAGCTGAATAACACTGTGCAGGGGATACAGATCTGGAAAGTAAGAGTGAAGAGTCATCTGCCTGCTCTTGCCCCATGTTGTTCCAAGTATTGCCAAACAGAAACTCTCCTGTGCATCCTAAGTTGGGGGGGGGGCTCTGCATTTCCTGCCTCAGAACCAGCAGGGAGTGCAGGGCGGGTGCTGGTGGAGTGTGGATGGGGTGCTCATGCTAATAGCACACTCCCCTCTGTCATTACAGCATGCCTGGATTCACATCCTAAATCATCGGGTAATTATCCAACCCAACTTACCTCGGGGGTTCATCTTGATGGTTGTTTAGGACAAGCTGTCCCCTATTCTTTTTTATGTTATTAGTTTATTTACAAAATATCTAGTATGCTATGAATCTAAGAGTTTGATCCGTTTTTCAGAGATTGCACCTCTTAAAACATTCTTTATATCTTGTTAAATGGATGGATTAGGAGTCCTCATTTCTTAAGCAGTTGGCCCAAAGTATAAGGTCATCATAACCATAAGCATCACTTGTTTTCCACTGAAAATGGCAAATTCTTCCTGGGGCCCCCCCCAGGAAGGGGCATGGTAGCTCAAATGGACCACCCAAGTGGTGAATCTCCAAATGCTCTGTCCCAACATGGCGCTGCTGGGGCCTCTGCTGGTTGGTTCCTATTCTAGATCACCTCTCCCAATACTTCTCTTGTACGTTTCACAAGTGTCTTTCTGTTTCTGCCATCATTTCCTCCACTCAGCAGCCTGTTGTACTGCACAGCCTTGCAGACCCAAACCTGACTTCCCACCCAGGGAAAACTAACCTGCATTTTACAGTTTCATTCCTAGCATGCCTATTTTCTTCTTTTTCATGGGGGTTGTTTTGATTTTTTTTAGGGCCCTTTCACAAGATGATCAAGATGACATTCACCTAAAATTAGAAGACATAATTCAAATGGTAAGTTCATCCACAGTTTTATTGAACATAGGCATATGCACACTGCCTCTCAAAGGTAAGCAATGCACTTGCAGCTGATCACCATGTTTGACCATGTGTCTTTCTGTGAAGCTCTGTGCGGTGCACCACATTCTGCAGAGGGGCTAGCAATTGGTCAGTGAGATTAATGTTGACTCCGCTATTCCTTTTTTAGCTAGAATCTAGTGCCGGACTTCATACTTCCACAGATGGGGCTGTCCACAGTGAGATGGTGAGTGCCTTGTTCCCACCCATGTTTGACTTCTCTCCTTCATGTTTTTCAGACTGACTGTCCAAAGGCCGAGTGCTTTGAGAGCTTATCAGCTATGGAGCTGGCTGAGCAGATCACCCTCCTAGACCACGTCATTTTCAGAAGCATTCCTTATGAGTGAGTGGCACCCCTTGCAGCACCAAGTGTCAGTTGCAGTGTCTGGCCTAGAAGCTGAATTGTCCTAAGGCAGATGTATGTGTGTGTGTGTGTGTGTGTGTGTGTGTGTGTGCAGAGGTGTGAGTCTTAAGGTTCAGATTATTTGGCCCCATTTGAATGTATCTTGGTTCCAGTTTATATTGGGTATAGTGATTTGGGGAGTCTCCAGATGGTTAGTCTCGTGTTTCTATATGTACTGGGGTTACCGTAGAATGTGAATTGCTGTGTTCTAGCCTTGAGTTACAGAAACCTCAATACAATTACAAGAACAGTTCTCAGACTTTGGGCCTAGAATCATTGAGCTTGTTAAAAATGAATATTCTTAGATATTTCCCTCAGAAATTCTGATTCTACTAGGTATTTATCACCGTCCTGGGCCACGTCATTTTCAGAAGCATTCCTTGTGGTGGTGGTGGTGATGGTTGTTTTGAGACCCAGAAAACTGTCTTTTCAATGAGAATCCCATAAGAATCTGAGTGGTCCGAGGCCCTACTTTGAGAAACAGTGATCTAGTAAACGTTGTAGATTCTGCTATAGATCTCACTTCCATAAATCAACAAGTATTGTGAGCCTTATGGCCACAGACCCAGTTTCCTCCTGTGTAGAACAGGGGAGGCTCTTGAAGCCCCTTCCAGCTGTCATACTCAGTATCCCCCAAAGCAAGGCCTTTGTCTAAACAAACGGACACCATTGGCACTTGTGCTCCATGAACTAGTAACTATGTTGGAGGTGATAAGAGCCAGGAATGTGGTCCATGTCGTATGTGGAAGAGAGGACATCTGTGCTGGTGGAGGGTTGGGTGTGGACAGGGTAGATGGGCTAGAGGCATGAAGGAAAGAGCAAATGGATGTCCCAAAGACTTTTCCTTAATGCATTTTATCTTTTTCCTCTCCCAGCTCCAGTACATAGACCTATACATGAACATGAAAAAATAAAAATGAAACAGGAATGTAGCTCACTGGCTGTTTAAATGAATCTGATGGCAAGCTGAAAACCTGGTTTAGGGACCACAGAGTCACTTCCTCTGCTGCCTCCTCACTTCTTCACTATACTCCAGTGCCTCGAGGCAGGGGACATGACTTCTGTGGAGGAAGAGAATAATCAATGCCAAAACTTTGGTGGTGGCTCTTGGTGTGTCTCCTCTGTGTGAAAGTCTACCAATTATTTCCATCCATGGGCCCGGCACACCTTTATAACCAACACTACAGGACAAGAGCAGTATCAACAACAGCAAGGGACAAAGAAACTTGCACAAGGATTCAGTCAACATTTCTGTACTGGGAATGTGTCCTAGTTTATTTTTTAATGCCCATACAAAGTAATTCCCTGTGCTCCATCTTGATTATTCCTGCCCATTCATTATTCCTGAATGCAGTGAATGAGCAGGGACGCTGCCCAGAAACTGGACTGAGCTTTCATGCAACTGAACTGCCTTGATCAGGCAACTGTGCTGCAAAAGTGGCAACAGGGAGAATTTATTTGGCTCCTTGTATTTGCGCTGTTCTGAGTTCTTGGGAGGACAAAATAAAGTCCCTGCCTTTGTTACCTGTATTCTTCAGAGAATTTCAGAGCAAAGGAAAAGAAGAAGTTCTGTCCTTGATTAACATTTTTGGCAGTGATAGATTTATTTTTATTTTTTGGTGCCTCTGCTAAGGCTTAACATTCTGAGAAACTAATCCAGGGAAAACAGTGTTGGTTTCTGAGTTAGTACTTAACTTCTTTCTTTCTCTCATGTTGGTGGTAATTTTCCAACTTCAGAAAAGCCTTTACAGGAACAAAGTTCCAAACATTTGCAAGGGAAAACTGGAGACTGAAAAACCTGTTTCTTTTTTGTCGTGGAGTAGTGAAATACTGGAGTTGAGCTACAATTCATTAGAGATGGTCGGTAGCAGCAGGTGGGCCTCAAGGAATGTTCCAGGCAATGTCAATGTAGTGTGTCTCATATTCATGATAATTATGCAGGATCATAGCCATTGTCTCTTAAAAAACTTAAATTGGTTTTGTGTTTTGTTTTGAACTTTCAGAGAGTTTCTTGGACAGGGATGGATGAAGCTGGATAAAAATGAAAGAACACCTTACATTATGAAAAACAGCCAACACTTTAATGATGTGAGTAACCATGAAAATAAAACCTTGGGCATGTTACAGGAAGATGAGTACCGGGGTCTTCAGACTCCTTCTCTAAAAACAAACTCTGCCACTGACTTTTAAAACAGAACTGATGGACTTTAAAGACAAACTTAAATATCCCCTGACATCTCGTAGTGATGTGATGATTTCTGGTAATCTCCTGGCATAACAGGTTTTGATGGGAAGCAGTCAATATTGTTTAAGTTGCTGTTATTATTTTTATGGTAATCCTTGTAGCTTCCAGATCATATATTGACTGACAAAACCAGCAGTGCCTGTGTCACTGGCCCCTGGTGGTGATGGTGACAGTAAGATTGGATTGTGTCACTCCTCCTCATCATCTTGGAACATTCAGCCCAAATCGCACTCCAGCATGGGAAGTGCCATCTTAGAACATGATCACATTGCTGCTGGGCTCTGTGCAGTGGTGCCAGCTGCTACTATCACCTCGGCCTTTCTCCAGCCGTGAGACTGGGAGTGGCTTTTGTGCCCACCAACTCTTAGTTGGTTCTGTTCTAATAGCCTTTAGTCCTGTGGGAAAAGAAGTAACAGATATGGAAGTGTCTTTCATCCTGTTCATACAAAGGGAAAATTTCCTTTCCAGTTGCACTGAACTACGGTAAAAGGAATAATGACGGTGTTTAAAAACACAAAGGAACCCCACAGGTACATTAATAAGTCATCCAAAATTCAAATATAAAAATAGTATAGATTTCCAAGGCAGCGCTCTGCACAGGGTGTACTCAGAGAGCACTGATGCTTAGGGAATGCTGTCACATAATGGGCTTCCCTGCCACTGGTGCTAAAGGGCAGGGTGCCTGACTTACCTGGGTCACTTTGAGAAGCAGGGTCTGGCTATGGAAAATAAAGCTTTGATACCTGAGTTGTACATTCATCTGCAATATACCTGACACTCCTATCAGAGGCTCATCTCAGGCTCCAGACCCACATACCTCTTCCTCCTGGATCACCTCTGCATGGTGCAGATGGAACCCCGCCATATGCACCCCCTCCCCCGTGCCAAGCCTGCCTCTGTAGCTCCTTCTCAGTTTTGGGTGATGGCCTCTCCATATATTTGCTCCCTCAAACTCTGCATCTAGAGGTCGTCTCTGTCTCCTTTTCCTTCACTCACCTCTCTTTTACCATCTCCCCCCCCCCAACATCTTCCTGAGTCCTAAATCTACCTGCGTCTCAGACCCTTTCTCACCCCTCCTCCCCCATTGCCACAACCTGGATTTGACTTCATCCTTTTGCTCCTGGAGCTTCTGGCTCCTCTCTTCCCACCTGAGTCACTGTGCCCTGATGTATTCCACGTGCCATGCCCTAGGAATGACTCCTCTGAAAGGTCAATCTAATTATGTTGCTCTCTTTGGCAAAATCTGTGAGGGGCTTCCCCTCACCTTCAGGAGACGGTCTCAACTCCTCAACCTGGTGTGCAAGAGCCTGCCCATCTGTCATCTTTGTGTCTCCAGCCCCCTAAGCACCTCAGAGGGCAGCCAGGTCCTCAGTGATGCCATGCCTTCCACCACTGGCCCTTTGCTCTTCTATTTTGATGGGAAACAGAGGATAGTCATCCTCATCTTTCAAGATGCAATGTAGGCATGACCTGTTTCCAGAATCCTCCCCTGGACTAGACCAGATCCCCATTCTGTCTCCATGTTCCCAATCCCCTCCATGCCTAAACATAGCTTCTTCGTATTTCTCTTTGTGGCATTTACTTGTCCACGTATCTCCCTCCCCTCCCCCTCCCACCTAACTAGACTCAGAGCACCTTAAGGTTGGTGTGTTAGTCAGATATTTCTATAATAAAATACTCAAGATAATTAACTCAATGAAAAAAAGGTTTACTTTGTCTCACAGTTTTGGAGACTGCAATCCAAGGTCAGGCAGTCCCATTGCTTTGGACCTCTGGTGCACATTGCAGATAGCAGTGGCAGGGAGCATGTGTCAGAGCAAGTGGCTGTCTCATGGCCAGGATGCAAATGAATGGAGGAGGGAGGGGCTTGATTACTGCATCCCTTTCAAAGGTAGGCCCCCAGCAACCTAGGGACCTTACACAAGGCCCTTCCTCCTGGAGGTCCACAGCACTGTCCAACAGGACCATCCTAGGGACCAAACCCTTAACATCTGGGTCAGTTAGGGACACTTAGTTCTTTTTCTTCCTGTTCTCAACACCTAAGACTACTTCCATCCATTTGCTCAGTAATTACTGTAATGATTTCTTCATCCAAACTGCTGATTAACAAAATTACCTGTTCCCCCTGCAGACTAGATTCCAGGCCACCCCTCACACCACTCTGAGGATGAACAGATGCTCAATAAGTTGCACCACAGTAGGTGCTTTAGTGAATGTCACAGTGATGACTCTGGGGCACTGGTAGAGCTTACAGACCTTCCGAATCATGCAAGAAATGGAGTTCCCCACCAGATTTAGTGTATCAATGCAAGATTCCGCAGCCCATGTTCCCTTTGTTAGTAATCCTATTTTTCCCTTTTCCTCTCCATATTGCAACAGTTGAGCTTCTTAAGCTGGCTTTCTCTAGCAGAATGACAATATTTAGCCCTGAGGCCATAAGCTCTTTAAAATGCCAGTGAAAAATTATAAGAAGGAGAAAATGTTCTCTCTTCCTCTGCAACTAAGAGTTTCTGGTTGGAGAGTTGATCAGTTCAGAATTTGGTCTGACTAGGGATGAGTGTTTTTAATTTCCCTGTAATATCTGAGGCATCCCGCTACTGGGGACGAGGAGTATGTGTTTCCAAGGGGTGACATCCCTGGTCTACCAACATTGCCCTTCCTCGGGAGTTAGATTATTCTCTCCTTCATCAAAAGGAGATTCACCTGATTCATAAAATCGCTTTTCCCCCCAACAAACTAGATTCTAAAGAATCCTTCTGCACACTCTAAGGGTGACCGGGTGCTCAGCAGTTTAATGTTATTATTGCACAGACATCAGTTTCCTTAGAAACAGGGTGACCCCTATTGGAATGTGCATTCTTAGAAAGTCAGTATCCAAAGATGGAATGGATCTCCACACCGTAGGACACCCTCCTTTCCTGTATGCACTTCTCTGGTTCTTAGACAGCCTTTCTGACTTTTTGCTTGTCTCAGATGAGTAACCTGGTGGCCTCCCAGATAATGAATTACGCTGATGTCAGCTCCCGTGCCAACGCCATCGAGAAGTGGGTGGCGGTGGCGGACATTTGCAGATGCCTGCACAACTACAATGGCGTGCTGGAGATCACCTCGGCCTTAAACAGAAGTGCCATCTACAGGCTGAAGAAAACCTGGGCCAAGGTGTCCAAGCAGGTGAGCATCCGAGTGCGACACAGACTGCTGCTGAGAGGAGGAGAGGCTGGGAGACGAGAGCCAAGATAAATATTACTAATTAGGAAATCATTAGCTGAGATGAGCAGCATAGTTGCCAAAGAAAGGTGCCAACATGGGTAATTACCATGCTCTTACCACTTAATTAATTCCACTCATGTGCATTTCCAAAACATTCATTAAAACATTTGGGGTGGGGGTATAGCCTCAAACTATGTGACAATCAAGAGTTGCTTCCCCAATGATTTCGGGAGGGCACACTGATTTCAGGCGATGACCAATGAATGGATTCATTCTTTTCTCCCCAAGGTAGGGACACAGATGTCTTAGGGCCAAAAGACCTCAGGGTTCACCTTTTTCTTTGTCATTCATGTAGCAGACTTAAAGTTTTGGCAAAATGACTTAGATGTGCACAAACATAACTTTCTTAAATTTTTTTTTATTGGGTTCTACTTGCCCCTGACCTGTTGTTTTCACTCAGATAATTTCAAGATTCAAACCAAATCACAATTCTTCCCTGCCTTTTTTTCATCTGGGTTTCTGCCTGGGTATTGATAGGTATTGGGAGGGCTTCTCTGGGCTTCTGGAAGGTTCTCTGCACCCCTGGCTTCCTATTAGTCCTTTTCTGATTGGTCCCTGGGTACTTGCTCACCCTGCCCAGGAACCACCCAGTGCTGACCCTGCCCTGCTTCAGCTCTCATTGACTCTGCTGATGCTGTGAGCCTCTGTCTCTCAGGCTGGCTGCCCCTTGGTGACCCCCTATTGGATTTGTGCATTCTTCATTAGATGACTGCCAAAGGGCCTTGGGGGAATTTTCCAGGCTCCTCCATCCTGCATTGGTGCCTGTGGGTAGGAGGGTCTTTGGCAGGTGCTCTCTGCCTCACCTTCCCCAATACCCCACCTACCTGGATGTGCCCAGCCACGTTGGTGAAGGGCATCTACATGGTGCCATCTCTAGGGGACTAGACTAGAAGAAGAACATAACTACATTCTGCTGAGATGTTCTCAGGTCTTTCAGACCAGAGTTGTTTTCTGAATTATTTAAGCGCGTAAAAAGAAGCTTCCTGAGGATTTAAGCCCCTCTCTGAGACGTGTTATTTCTCATTCCTCTCTGTTTTGGCTTCTCTCTCCAAGCCTTTCCCTTTAGTATAAGAGATGCTGTAACTTCTTCACATGGCTGGACAGCAAGCCTAAGTCAGAGCCTTCGTCCACGCTTGCTTATTCCTTAGGAAAAGCACAGTGCTCTGAGAATCTTGATGTCTTAGAGCTCACAAGTCCTTTTATTAGAGCAAAGGCTGGACTTTGTGAAATAAAAGCCATGGTTTAAAAATACTATTATTTTTAAAGTTTCCTATTTGGAGATGATTTTAACTTCACTTGCAGTTGTGAGATAATATAGATATGTCCTACACATTGCTCCCACTTTCCCCCAGTGACAACCTTTTTATAACTGTAGACAATATCACAACCAGGAAATGAATGAACATTGGTACAATCCACCAATCTTACTCAGGACTCACCAGCTTTTCGTGTTTTTGTGTTTGGAGAGGTATTTAATTCTGTGTACTTTTATTACAAGGGTAGATAAGCGTGACCACAACCCCAGTCAGGATACAGCGTATGTAGTATGTAGTTCCATTACAAAGGACTCTAGTGCCATGCTTCAATAGCCATAACCACCTTCCTTCCAGCCCCATTCCCTGACTCATAACAATCACTAATCTGTTTTCCATCTCTATAATTCTGTCATTTCAAGCAGAGTATATAAATGGAATCATAGAGTATGTGACATTTTGAGATTTGCTTTTTTTAACTCAGCATAATTCGCGCGAGCTCTATTTAAGTTATTACCTGTATCAATACTGTATTCTATTTTATTGTTGAGTAGTATTCTATGGTATGGATATAATATACCACATTTTGTTTCACCATTCACTCCTTGAAGAACACTTGGGTAGTTTCTAGATCAGGGCTATTATGAATAGAACTACTATGAACATTGCCGTAAAGGTTTTGTGTAAACATCAGTTTTCATTTCTCTGGGATAAATCTCCAAGAGTGCAATTGCTGGTTAGTGTATGTTTAGTTTTATAAGAAACTGCCAAACTTTTCCAGAGTAGCTATATCAGAAATGTATGAGTGATCCAAGTTCTCTACATTCTTGCCAGCATTTGATATTATCATTTTTTAAAATTTAGTCATGCTGATAGCTCACTGTGACAAAAATGTGCACTTTTTAATGGTTCATGATGTTAAACTTCTTTTCATGTGCTTTTTTTGCCATCTGTATATCCTCTTCAATGAAAGTTAGTATATAGAAATGTAATTTGATTTTGTACATTGATCTTCTAGCTATAAACTTGCTGACCTCACCTAATAGTTCCACAAGTTTGTTTGTAGACTTCTTGGAATTTTTTTACATAGACAATTATGTGATTTATAAATAGGAGCAGTCATTTCTTTCTTTCTTAATTTATATGCCTTTTATTTTCTTTTTTGCCTTGTTGTTCTGATACTTCTAATACTGCATTGACCAGAGAGGCAAGAAAGGAAATACTTACCTTGTTCTCAATCTTGGGGGCAAAGTTTTCAGTCTTTTACCATCCAACCTGGCCATCAGTTTTTTTTTTTTTTTGTAAATGCTCTTTATAAATGAAGGAAGCAGTCATATTTCCCTGGTTTTCTGAGAGTTTTTATAATTAGTGGGAATCAGAATGCTATTTTTAAGTGGACTTTAAACACTTGTCCCAGTGGCTCAGGAGGCTGAGGCAGGAGGATCGCATGTTCAAAGCTAGCCTCAGCAACAGCGAGACACTAAGCAACTCAGTGAGACCCTGGGGATGTGGCTGGGGATGTGGCTCAGTAGTTGAGTGCTCCCAAGTTCAATGCTCAGTACCAAAGGAGGGGGAAAAAAACATTTATGTGAGAACCCAAAAGCTGGACACCAACCCCTGTGACTGTTTTTCCCTCAGGATCAGGTGCTGGCTGAACAGAGCGAATCGCCCTGTCACACACTTGGTAGCACTTCATTAGGGTCAGTAAGTCACGCCTCAGCCTTCTTTTTCCTTCTCTTCCCTGTTTCTTTATTCCTTTGAAACTGGCACTAAGGAATCACCAAACTTTAAGAAAGCTTCCAGGCTTCTCTATAGTTGACTTTGAGAGGATGCAAATTTAGGGATAACCAAGGGATAGGAATGATAGGCTAATATTAAATCTGTTTCAAATTTTGATGTAACACCTGAGGAGGCATTAAATAGATTACACTATTTCAACCACATGCATGAGTCACCCCTGGTGACCTTAGCACGAGTTGATGTACTGTCCCCCCAAGAGGCTGTGTCTGTGGCCAGGCATCTCACTCTGGGCCTAGTTGCAGATGTGTCTGCTTCAGGGAGTCTGGGTTGCACCATCTGTTCTGCAGCTGTCCCTTCAGATCTGTCCAGGGGATCCTGAAGGCCTGGTGGAATCTGCAGTCTGCAGCCCTCTACGTGGCTGTGGAACAGACTGTACTTCTGCAACTTCTTTGAGCTAAGGCCATCCTTGGGCCAAGAAAGAGGCCTCCCAGAGCCTTCAGAAACCAAGATGGGGAACTGTTGGCATTATTCTGAAAGCTATCAGGAACTGTGCAACTCCTTTCTAGGCTGAGGCACAGGGGGAGAGCAGCTTTGCTTTGGGCTTGCCAGGTGCTTTACCCAGTAGGATCTGAGGCATCAGGGCTCAGCCAGGCAGCCTGGGTGTGAGTATCACCAGAAACAGGTTCTTTTCCCCAAAGCCCACCTTACCATGGAAGAAACTCCAGACCAATGTCAACAACCATGTACTTTATTAGTAAATATCTGTTATACTTTTTTAACAAATTGATGATCATTATCATCAAAGAAAGAATTTAGAGCAGAAGATATTGCTCAGTCAATGCCAAAGCAACCAAATATGCACTTTGATTGTTTAGAGATTAATACAAAAAAGATTCATGGTGAAAACTCCCTGACATGAGACCTTTCCTTTAATATTCTGTGTTCTACACATGCTTTTCCAGTTCTTCAAGTTCTTTAATTTTCCGTGCATTACAATTTTTCTTTTCTAAACACTGTTCTTTCCTTATGGCTAAATGTATGCAGAGAAGCACTTGCTCTTCTCCCCAAGTTGTTGTTCTTTTTTGTTAATCATGCCAACATTGTGCCCTGCCTCTGCCTTGAAATCATATCACACAATGACCTTTGTTCTAGTGAAGGTTTCAGCACCTGCCTCTGCAGAAGAGAGCTGGCAGCTCACTATCTGTTGTGGTTTAAATATTAGGTGTCTCCCAAAAGCTCATGTGTGAGACAATGCAAGAAAGTTTAGAGGTGAAATGAGTGGGTTAAGAGAGCCTTAACCTAGTCAATGCATTAATCTGCTGATAGGGATTAACTGGGCGGTAACTATGCCGGTAGGAGGTGGCTAGAGGAGGTGGGTCATTGAGGGCCCATTGGGGGTTTGTATTTTGTCCATGGTGAGGGGAGTCTCTCTCTCTGCTCCCGGTGGGATGTCCTGAGCTGCCTTCCTTTGCCACACTGTTTCTGCCATGATGTTCTGCCTCACTTTGGGCCCTAAGGAGTGGAGTCGGCCATCTATGGACTGAGACCTCTGAAACTGTGAGCCCCCAAATAAACTTTTCCTCCTCTAAAATTGTTCTCAGGTATTTTGGTCACAGAAGTGAAAAGGCTGACTAAAACAATATCTTATCAAGCCATGAGATTCTCATGACAAACTAAGTTTTTTCTTTCTGTTTTAGACAAAAGCTCTAATGGACAAACTTCAGAAGACTGTTTCATCTGAAGGAAGGTTTAAAAATCTCAGAGAAACCCTTAAAAAGTATGTCTATCTTAAGTCATTCACAGTTTATAAATATGTTTACCTAATTTTTAAAAGTTTATGAGTGGTGACCCACCTCCTTCATTGCTGGAAGAGAAAAGCAAATAGAAAATGACTTCCATTGTCTTCAGTATTTTGGATTTTTTCCTTCTCACTTGGAACACTGTGGATATAGTGAGGATCTTACAGATGTACTCATGGTATGCAGATTGTTCCAAGTAAGAAGAAAATGTTACTGTAAAAAGTTTCTTGAGTCAGTATTTTCTAATCTAAGTACAACGATTTCCTGTGATTTTTTAAATTTAAATATTCCAGCGCATATGATTATTGTTATTTATTTTTGGCCCTTTATTTCTGGATATCTCTCTCTCTCTCTCTCTCTCTCTCTCTCTCTCTCTCTCTCTCTCTCTTTCCACACACACACACACACACACACACACAGCATAGAATATATTCTCTTGCAACTAGTTTTCTCAAGATGTAGCACATGAATTTGACTCACTCTGGAAAAACATTAGTCTTGTGATGGTATGAGTGAAAGAAAGCTTAATAGTGACAACAACAAAAACAGTAATGCAACAATAATAAGATATGAATTATTTACTGGATGTTTACTGAAAGACAGGCTCCATGCTAAGTACTTGATGCATCTTTTTTAAAAAATATTTTTTAGCTGTAGATAGACACAATGCCTTTATTTTATTTATTTATTTTTATGTGGTGCTGAGGATCAAACCCAGTTCCTCACATATACTAAGCTAGTACTCTACCACTGAGCTACAGCCCCAGCCCCTTGACACATCTTTTAAAATCTCACAACAAATTTAAGAGATAAGCTTTTCTGTCTTCATCTTACAGATGAGGGCACTACAGTTCAGAGAGTTTGCCCACTGCCACTGAGTAACTGGTCAGCTGGGATCAAAGCCCAGTTCTTTCTGCACCAAAAGTCCATGTTCTTAGCCTCAGACCTCTTCCAGGAAACCAAGTATTCCACTTCCCACCAAAAACAAAACAGGTGACTCCCTTTAGTGAGTAGCTATAATGTTGGTTAAGTCTATACCTTCTAAAATATTGAAGTACTAACTTAAACATAGAACAAGTTTACTGTAGTGTGAGGCTCTGACCACAGCAATTTTCTTTATGATGTTCATCCACCAGGAAGGTGAGAGCAAAGGGGTTTGTTTTCCCACATGCTTCTGCCCTTCCGAGAAGTATGGACAGCTTACAAGTACTGCAAATAATTCCTGCTAGCAAACATCTTTTATTTGTCCCTAAGTCGTCCTGTTGTTGGGATATGCCATTGTCTCACATTTGTAAAGCATGGGCTGTAATTTTGTATTGTGTTCTATTGTAAAATTTGTTTAAAATGTGCGTATCATGAGTGTGCATCTGACAATGCAATAAAAAGTCTTTGTTCTTCAGGATGGAAGCAGCTTATTTGCTTCCTGTTTAAATTGGGGAGGGAAGTGGATATTCATGCAAATGAGTGTGAGAACAAATATTTCTTGATCTTGCAGTTGTAACCCCCCAGCAGTTCCTTACCTTGGAATGTACTTGACAGACTTGGCATTTATTGAAGAAGGAACACCCAACTTTACCGAAGAAGGCCTTGTCAATTTTTCCAAAATGAGAATGGTAGGTGATAATTTCATAACTGGCTTGTGTTTATGACTCTAGTGGCTTACAGAGTAGAAGCTTGGTAACAAAGTCAATGTTTGCTTTTTAATCTCAAGGGAGAAGAGGTAGGGAGACTAGGGCTAATATCTGCTGTTGGCTGATTGAGATTTTTAGCAGTCTTTTCTGCTTGCTATCTGGGTCAAGGGGATGAGGAATACAATTTCAAGGATGATTTTCTAAGACTGACCCATGGTAGGCAGGTGCTGAAGGCTTCTTGTTGGACAATCAGATTCTGAGCACCAAGTTAGAAGCAGGAGCCCATAGGCAGTAGCACCCAACATGTCCCTCTCCCAAACTTGTGGCCACCTGGTGCCAGCTGCTCCTCCAGTTTTGGATTCAGTATCTTCTTGCTGTTGGAATTTCACACAGTTCCTAGGATAAGAAAATCCCAGGCATAGAAAATCATTAATGGGCTTCACCTACTGGAGGAAGGGCCCTTGGGAAGAAGCCCCAGAAGAGTGCTTTGGGCTGCAGGGAAATAACTTTGCTCTGCTTCTGTTACTGTTGCTGTTTTTCTCTCCTCCTGTTAGATATCACACATTATCCGGGAGATACGACAGTTCCAGCAGACTGCCTACCGAATAGACCATCAGCCAAAGGTAAAACACTGCCGTTGTGAGGGAATTAAGAAAGGAAAAAAGTGGCAATTAATGAATTAGAAAACAACAATAGAGTTGATCAGTTATACCAAAACTGACTCATGGAAAGAACCAATAAACTAGAAAAACTTCAATAAGCCTGAAAGAAAAAAAAATAAAGGAAGGCAAAAAGAACATCAGTTATCATCAAAGTTCTACTGATTTTTACATCCTGTATTTCATGTGAATCTTCCCCTCTTCTTCAATTTCTGACACCAAACATTCTACTTGTGTGTGTGTGTGTGTGTGTGTGTGTGTGTATGTGTGTATGTGCGACTGGGGATCCAACCAGGGCCTCACTTACTAAACAAGTGCTCTACCTCTCAGCTACATCCCTAGCCCTCCAACCACTCTAGAATGCAAAATCTGTATTGCAAATTACAGCTGGCAGAGCTCTCTGAAATACAAAGTGGCATATGCCCCCTGCCGCACACAAAACATTTCATTGTTTTCCAATTACTCTTAGGATTGGAAAAAAAAAAAAGAAAAAGAAAAATTCCTAACATTACTAAGAAGTCTTGCTTTTCATGGCCCTGGCTTTTCTTGATTCATTTCGCATGACACACCCCCTTCTCTCTCCATTTCAACCACAACTGTTCTTTTTCTTTCTTTTTTTTTTTTGAAAGATTATCTTTAGGGGCTGCAATTGTAGCTTAGTGGTAGAACACTTGCCTAGCCTTTATGAGTTTGATCCTCAGCACCACATAAAAATAAATAAATTAAATAAAGGTATTGTGTTCATCTATAACTAAAATACGAATTTTAAAAAAGGCTCTTTTTCAAGGTAGTTTTAGCTATCTGATATCACAATTGAGAAGGTAATACAAAAATTTCTACCTACCTCACCAGTCATAATTTCCTATCATTAACATCTTAACATTAATATCATTAATATAGTACATTTGTTAGAATTGATGAACCAAGATTGATACATGATTATTAACTGAAGATCATAGTTTATTCAGATCCCTTTGCTTTTTAAAATATTTTTATTAGGGCTTTATAATTATACATAACAGTGTGGTTCATTTTGACATATTCATACATGCACGTAATATAACTTTCTTCATTTAATGCCACAGTACTTCATTTTTTCTCCCTCCACCTTCTTCCTCTGGCTCCTCTTCTTTTAACCTAGTGGTCTTCCTTCTATTATATTTTATTTATTTATTGTTTTTTTAATTGGTGCTTTATACATGTGGGACTCACTGAGGTACATACATACATGTGCAGAGCATAATTTGGTCTGTTTCTTTCTACAGTTCCTTTCTTTTCCTGGTCCTACTCTCTCCCCCTCTATCCACTTCTTCTACTCCACTGATCGTCCTATTTTTTTGATATCCACCTCTTTTTCTTTTAATTTCTTATTTTTCTCTATATATTCTATATATGAGAAAAAAATGTTTGACCTTTGACTTTCTGTGTCTGGCTCATTTCACTTAGCATAGTAGTTTCCAGTTCAATCCATTTACCAGCAAATGACATAATTTCATTCTTCTTTATGACCAAGTACACTCTATTGGGTATATACTACATTTTCTTTATCTATTCATCTGTTGAAGGGCACCTGGGTGGGTTTCATAACTTGGCTATTGTGAATTGTGCTGCTATGAACATTGATGTGGCTGCATCATTGTAGTAGGCTGATTTTAGTTCTTTGGAACAGATATCAAGGAGTGGGATAGCTGGGTCATATGGTGGTTCCATTGCCAGTCTTTTGAGTATAAATCTATACTCAAACTTACTTTTTACCTAATGTAATTTCTCTGTTTCAGGATTCGTTCATAATGCATTTCATTTAGGAACCCCCATCAGTGTGGGATTCTTTTTCTTTTCTTTTTTGAGGACTTAATAATTTGCTGCTACTATAAGATTTTCCAGGCTGATCTTATATATTTCTCTCCCCAATGCTAGAATCAGATATTTCTCCTGAATCTCTAACTCCTTGTATTGGAGAATGATATTAGGAACCATATGGACTCTTGGTGTGCATACTTCAGAGGTTCATTTCTCTTAGGTGCTCCGAGCTGACAGAACACAGAAATGTATGTGTGTTTTCTAACCCATGTGTGTCCACACATAAGTACTTCCATGTGTAACCAAATGTATTTGTTTTAAGATACACCCAACTTCATACAGAAGACTTCAACTCTGTTCTGTCACATATGAATCATCCTAGCCCTACTCTACATTTGTATATATTTAAATGTCCATTCCAACAGTGAGAAACAGACTCTTTAATAGGTCCCTAAGTTTTGCTTTATATATGTTTGCTAAAGGGCTTTCCATATCTCTGTCTGGGGTGCCCTTCCTTCTGCATTGCACACTTAACTTGTTCACAAATTAAGTCTCATTTTCTCAGGCGCTCCTCACTTTTTAGCTTTTATTGCACTAGGTACCTCTACTTTCCAGCACTTACTTCTGGAGTTGCCATTTTTACTTGTATTTGTTTGCTTACATGTATATGTGTAACATCCGTGAGGATCAGAGCCATGCCTCTTGTGTTTAGTTTTGTAGCCCCCCAGCATCTTACACAGTATCTGCACAGTAGTAGATAATAAATGCCTCTTGAGTTAAACCAAGTCAGGATGAAAAACAAGGTTGTCATTGTCACTGTTCCTATTCAGTTTTGACCTGAAAAAAATAGCCAAGCCAATGAAGCAATAAAAAGTAGTATAAGGTATAAAAAATTTGAAAGTAAAAATTAAATGTTATAATTCACAGATGATTTAATCAGCTCCCTAGAAAATCCAGGAAAAATCTGATTAAAGAAGCATAGCAACCTAACATGAAAGCCAACAATTTTTAACACAGGATGAAATATAACATAAAACTCTCATTAAAAAAAGAAACAAATCTATTATGCTTAGGATTATGTGGAACAAGAAGTGTACAAGACCTTTATGAACTGAAGTATATGCAGGAGGTACTGATTATATAGCTAAATTAAGTTTATGAATCAGAAGACTTGCTGTTATATAAATGTTCTCAATTTAATCTGTAAATTCATTGAAATCTTAATATAAATCCAATATGGATTTTCATGGAACTTGACAAACTTATTCTGAAATTCATAAGGGACCTTAGGTGGAAAAAAAAAAAGATGAGAACTTTGCAAAAAGTAAGAACAGAAAGTGAGAATTTTTTTCTTCCAAATACAAATATATGTTCTAAAGATAGAGTAAATAAAACAGGATGATATTCCCATAAGAATAAAAATTTAATGGACTGAAGTCCAGACACAGATTTTATCATTATGAAAATCTAATATGGGATAAAGAAGAAACTTACCAAAAGTTCCAGAAAGAAACTGATCATTTAGTAAGTGGAATAGGAATTGAACTCTGCATCTTATACCTTTTGCAAAATTAGATTTCAGATGAGTTTTTTACTTAGATATAAAAAGAAATATTCAAGTAAAAAACAGTGTGCAACATTTATGTCCTTTAGATTTGAAAGACCATTCTTTACAGAATGCAAAAGCTTAAAAAGACAAGCTTGATAAAATTTACTACATGAAATCTACTGTATGAAAATGTCATTCTGTATGACAATGATGACAATGGACAGTTACTTACAAAGTCAAAATGCCAGCAGTGGACTAGGAGATAATATTTTCAGCATATAAAACAAAACAAAAGAATTTGTAAAAATATATAAGAAAAACATAAACAACGTAGTAAAAAAATTGAGAACTCTGAGCATTTCATTCACAGAAGAAACAAAAACTGTCAATGAAGATTTGAAAAATGCTCAACTTCACCAATAAAATTTGTAAATTATAATATCATTCTCACCTTAGGAAAAATTAAATAGATTGATAATATAAATAGTAGTCAGGATATGGGAAAACAGGTAGGATTAGTAACTTTGAAAGTCATGTTACATTATCCTTTAAAATTAAAACTTGTACACCGAGCAACTGGAACTTTTATATGCATTGCTGGTGAGAGTAAGATCACCCACCCATTTTGGAAAACTGCCATTGGAGTTTTCTTATAATGTTAAGTATGTATTATGACACAACCATTTCTCTCCAAGGGAGAAATGAAGATATGCTCATTAAAAAAACTCAGATAAAATGTCCATAACATTTTTTAAAAATAGCCTCAAGTTGGAAACAATCCCAGTGTCCATCAACAGATGAATGGGTAAGTGAACTGTGGTATATTTCTACAATGGCACACTGCTCAGCAATGAGAGTAAATATTACGGATACATAACACAGCATGCGTGAATCTCAAAACATTAACACTCAGTGAAGTAAACCAGACAGGAATGAGCTTATGCTGTATGTCCATTTATATGAAGTTCCTGGGTAGACAAAATTAATGTGTGATAGGAATCAGAGCAGCAGCTGCTTCTGTGAGCAGATTGGGAAGTGCATGGAGGAGCTTCTGTGTATGTATGTATGTAACTTACATGGGTGCATACAATTATCAAAACTGATCAAACTTTTCATATCACTTATGTATGTTATATCTCAATAAAAATAAGAAAATATTTTCATGGAGAACACCCTATCCCTCCAAATCTTTATTTCTAGTGTCATTTCCTTTCATTTCATTCCTGGTGCCTACCCAAGCAAAGTGTTCATATACGAGCATCAGGAAGTTTGCTAATAAGGATTTTCCTGTAACGGTGTAATGGTGAAATATAGACAGCAACTCAATGTCTATCGATGTAGAGCATTAAAGAAACTTGAGTATATTGCACTATCAATACTGTACCACAGTTAGAGCTCTCTATATTGACATGGGAGCACTCCATAAGTTACAATTAAGAGAGGAAAGCAGAATACAATGTAGGTCATAATGTCATCTATGATAACAGGGGAAATGGTTTCTGTAAGTGCATGTAATGTCTGTAAAAATACAGTAACACATCTGGGAGACAATACATGCCAAATGGTAACAGTGGTGCTTCTTGGGGAAGCTACCTGGGACAGAGGTGGGAAATGACTAGAGATGTTTGATTAAAATATATTCACAACATTTTTTAGTAATACGAAAATTTTAAATGTTTAAGAGAAAATGCTGAATGTGTCAGATTCCATTCAGAAAGGTTTTTAGTGGTGTTCTCAAAGAAATGCAAGCTGCAATGTCTTTTTTTTCAGGTCACACAGTACTTGCTTGACAAAGCCCTCATCATAGATGAAGATACGCTTTATGAGCTGTCACTAAAAATTGAACCTCGACTCCCTGCTTGAAGATCTGGCCTTGCCCCGAGACCTCGGCGTTTCCATGGAAAGGGAACAGTCAGAACTGTGCATGCCATGCCTCACACGGTGCAGCGGGGACTGGGGAAAGGTGAAGCCAGTCTCCTGTCTCCATTGAAGAAGATGGAACTGGACTGAGCCAACCCCAGCTGTGTGGGTCAAAGTCAGCTGCTTCAGCCCTGGGTGGGAAGATGAAAAGACTGATACTGTAAAGCTGATGGTGCATTTTATGTAAGGGAATGTAAGATGGGAGAGGCTTGTAGCCACTTTCATGAAGCTGGTAAGAAGGTAAATTTCCCTCTGCCCCTTGTTCTGTTAGAACCTGGGGACAAGGGCCCACAGAAAAGACCTGTGATGTTTCTCTGGCACTTCACTGGCCTGGGCACACCTGCCAATCTTCTCCTAGGGTTTAACTGCTTCCATGACACTTCTTTCCATTACAAGCTTCACAGGAAAGCCGAAGCCTCCTCTCTAGGGCCCACACATCAGCAGTGCCAGTCTATAGCATGTGCATGGTTCTCAGTGCATTATAAATATTTATATTTGAGGAATGGTATGTTCTGAAACTGCCTTTTCAGTCTTTAGGCAACAGGACAGGAAAAAAAAAAGAGATAAAACTCTAGTGGATTTGTTGGTAACATTTCCTTAATTTAAAACATTAGGCTGTGCCCCAGAGGATTTCAGCCTGTGGCCATCTTGGGGTGAGAGTGGGGGCTTCTTCCTGAGATTGGTGGTCCCAAGAAGCTACCCACTTGGAGAGGCAGCTGCAGAATTTGCAGAAAGGTGCATGCCACCTCACCGACAAAACTGTGGAACAAGATCAAAGGCCACCAAGTGCTATGGGGAATAATGGGTTTCATTGCTAAGTGAAAATATATACCTAAAAACCATCTTTGTACCTCGTTTTGCTTGTTTCCTTTTCTCTGATAGTATGATAGGAATCTTTTGATTTACACAAACCCTTTTTTTTTTTAAAGGCTCACTATGAGCATGGATTGTATTTTTTAAAAACTGTTTCATGGGATTTTCTTTTGAAAACCCACACTTCCATGTGCTGTTGGTAGACAATCCTCCCCCACCCCAGCCATCTTTGTTTAAAAATGGTTTTGAGATCTTTCTGAGTGAGAATTCTGTAACTGCATGGGAAAAATGGGCCCAATGACCCAACAGCTCTCACAGCAGAAAGCCAATTTCAGAGGTTAGTCCTGCTGCCCATGGCTGGGAATGTGGCCTCAGTTTTATGGAGATTGTCAGTTGTAGAGGAAACAGGGCTATTTTATCGTTTACCTCCCTCTTCTCTTCTCAGGGAGACTACTGCTTTAAAAGAAGAAAACACAACAGAGTTATTATTACCTGAGCCTGTTGTACCTGACATTTGCTCTTGAAAGCATGAAGCTTATTGATGCTAACAATGAAAAATGGATCTCTCTGGCTGTTTTCCCTCTTCTTTGCACTTTAATTTTTTGGTAGAGCTAACAGCTGATTAATAAGTTTCCGTTAGCTCTTAAGACCCCATGGAAGAGCTGGCATTGATAACGTATCATAGAAGTAAAGAAGGTACTTTTTTTTTTTTTTTGCACAGTAAGGGCCATCTCTGTACATACTACATAGTGAAATATCAAATAAGGAAAAGAAAGTATTTATAATATATGAAAACCATTCCAAAAATATTTTCTGTAGCTCATATTAGCCAACAGTGTAGCATTAGGCCCAAGGAGGGTTCATTATGGATGCTTTACTTTTCTTTTTTCTTTTTAAAAAATTGCTTGTTTGTTCTCTTTAGTTTCAGACAAGAGATTGACTGCATCTTGATGCATGATGAGAAGCATGGATGTTGGATTCTAATCATGCACACCTTGTGATTTATTTCTCAGTGTTCAGAAACCAAGGGTTTGAAAAAATATGTGTCAATTGCACCAAACACCTCATGTTCTCGCAGAAGAAAAGCTAGGCAAAGGTTAGCTTTCTTGATTCAAAAAGAAAAAAAAAGTGTTGGAAGGTGAGCAAAAACCAGGACAAATTCACGAGAGGACCACGCACATACTTGGTACCTAGCTTCAGGCAAAGCACCACATGGAAAAATCAATGAGTTGTACCCTGCCCTGGAGTCCTATGGCCTTCTGAAGGGGAAGGGATGCCTCTATGTGCACTTTCCTTGGAAGTTTGAACCCCATTTCTCTGACCCAGCTGTTCCAGAGGCACTGCCATTTTTATATTAAAAAAAAATGAAAGGAGTTTCAAATGCTCCTCCTCTTTTGCAATGCAGCTTTTCCTCACAGTGACAAAACTTCTGAGCCTAATTTCTGTAGCATGTTGGAAGTGCCTCCCAGTGGTCAGACGTGACTTTTAGCATTTTATTGAGTTCAATGCTGACTTTTAGAGTTATCTTGAGTCACATGGCCCTCCTGTTTCGTTTCCTACAGCTTGAAGGAGAGAACTCCACCTCCAAGAGAGTTCCCTTTGACAAGCTGCACTATTTGTGGGTCAGCTGAGATAGAAACACATGTTTAAAATAAGAATCAACAACACAACAACAACAACAACAACAAATCCTCAATTTGGTCACACTTAAAATTCTCCAGAGCAATTTATGTTGTCTCTTCTGACTGTTAAAGTCTTGATCCTCCTCTCCTCCCAAGCTTTGTGTGTATTGTGGCACACAGCGCATGCTTGCCAGGCTCAGACCCCTATATTCTATTCCGGGAGACCGGTTCTAGGAGTAGGAGGTCAGCCTCTATGAGCCAAGTAACAAACATGTATACTACAAACTTAACCCAGAAACTCAGAAGTAAAATCCAATTTCATGCTTTCAAATGAATACTCACATTTTATGCTGTCAATAGAGTCATCTTGAGGTTTTTAGGGGATGCCTTTGGTTATTAACTAAGACTTTCAGTTTTGCCACAGGGAGAAGTCTTTTACCTAAGCTGATATACTTTCTGACAGAGTCAGGCATGAAATAGAACATTGTCACTTTTCCTTAGTGTTTCTGTGAAGGAATTTAAAGAGGAAATTTTAAACTGCTCTTGCAGGATTTTCAAGCTGCTCTCACAATATCTCCATTGCTGGCAAATTTCAGAGGACCTTAGGGCACTGTTTATAGACAAGTGAAACTCATGGCTACTGGATAATTTGGAAAAGAAAATCCATTATGTGCCTATTTGGAAGGTGTGGTGAATCAGCAGCTCTTCTCTCACATTGTGAGACAAGACCTCGGGCCAGCAAGGAGTTGGCAGCTTTAAAGTTCTTAAAAGAAGTAGTGCAGTAAAGAAGTTATTCCTAATAAAGTTAAATTTTATTTGTAAGCAAAGGATTTCCTTACTTTTCCACGTTTCATTTTATTCCCTCTGAAAAAGAATCTCTCTCTTTATTTTGAACTCAAGTGCAAGTTTTCTTAAAAACCTGCAAAAAACTTTACACTGGGTGTGGTGGCATACATCTGTATTTCTTGCTACTCAGGAAGCTGAGGATGGAGGTCTACAAGTTTGAGCCCAGTGTAGGTAACTTAGTGAGATCCTGTCTCAAAATAAAAAAGGGCTGGGGATGTGGCTCTGTTGGTGATCATTTGCTTTGCATGACTAAAACCCTGGGCTCAATCTCCAGTACTGAAAAAATAAAATAAATAAATAAATACAAGAAAAAGATAATCTCTTGTTTATGGCCAGATTACATGTCCACTGGCAGAAGGAATCAGTAAATGAGATTCATTTTCATTTATGTAAGAAATTTTGTAAGTCTAAATATTGACTTATTTACCACTGTATGATTCCTGGTAGTAAATCTAATCAAAATGTCAGTTCTCAGTGCCCACTGGTGACTTAAAATTAAGAAGGGCAGAGTAAAAGTGGGACACAGTCTTCTTGTACTAGGTGTAAACACATGAATGATTCCAAAAATCATTCATCTCAGGTGCCACACAGCATGACATTGACATTAGGATTGATTGTACTGATCTAATCTGCTCGAGAAAAATGAAAGTTCTACTTAATGATGTTGAACCACTGTCTTTCACACAATCCATTTCAACTTTCATTAGAAAGCTGGTTGTGAAAGGGCACTGGACCAGGCATCCCTGCCCTGAGTCCTAGCCCAAATCTGCATCCACTAGCTGGAAAACCTTAGGCCAGTGTTTACACCTCTCTGAGCCTCAGTTTCCTCATCTGTAAAATGGGGTTCATCGTAATTTCTGTGCTGTCTACCTCACAGGGCTGTCGTGAGGACAAAATGGCTTAGAATGTAAACTGTAAAGTGCTGTCCAAATGTGAGGTAACCTGATTACCACCCTCAGCTCTCTTTTGCAGAGAAATTAAATGTATTTCTTTATTATTTGTGTGTGTGTGTGTGTGTGTGTGTGTGTGTGTGTGCGTGCGTGTGATGGAGAAACACATGTCAGTTGGAGAAGCATATTGTGTCCAGTACTTAGCAAATCTGCTGATATTTGTGATTCCGACAGAGGAGTTTGTGCTGTGGCCTAACATTTGCCAAGTGAGGTGTAAGTTATGCCTATATGCAAATTAAACTGCGCCTTTCTTGAATACTTGGAAATCTCATCAGTTTTTTATTCTTGCCCTATTTTTCTAATTGTCTTCTTGATAACAATGAGCTTTTTCAGTTATTCTTTTCAAGTTCAGGGTGGAAAACAGATTAGAAAAAGCACATGTTGCTGACACCAAAGTATCAGAGAACGGGGGACTTCAGAAAAAATATGGAAAATCATTTAGTCCCACTCACTTTCTAGTCTTTCATTGGTCTTGTGAGATCCACAGCACATGCTTGACTACTGCCCAGAACAGCTCAGCTTCATCCAGGGCAGCTCCATGCTCCTGGCAGTTTTCGGAGACAAAGAAGCTGCAGCAGTGGAATCCTGGCTCAGCCATTACTAGTTCTGACCTTGATGGGCTCCTGAGCTGTCTGAAGTTGTCCTTATCCATAAAACAAGACTCATGTCTATTCCTACAATTACTGCAATGGTTACATGGAGTGATATATATATATTTGTAATATTATATTATTAATATATATACATATATCTACTATCATTTCTGTCAAGTAGATGAAGTTGTCCTCACATTTAGAGCTGAAGGAACCAGGATACAGTTGTTGAGCACAAAAGGGAACTGAGCAGAGGGATCCCTGCTGCCCAATTAGCTTCTTTCTAATTCTGGCATGAGTGATCCAGACTGATGGGGTTGCAGGGAACCAGGTTCGATTCATCCTATTACTCAGCCAAACCACAGGCCTGCATGGCCAGATCTGAGTTTTACTCTATGCACACTCCAGCTTGATTTGGGAATAGAAAAGAGAATAAGCCCAGGACAGGATATTTCTTTTAAAGAAAGGGATATGGTAAAAGCCAGCCACTGGTCACACTGGGCACTAGAGCCAGGGAGCTTTGAAGGGAGTGGGCAGTGATAAGAAAGGAAGAAAGGGCATGTCACGGGGCTTGTGTTTGAATGGATTTTCAGACATTTTGGAATTTCTGCGGTGAGTCACTTGTGCTAGTTGCCAGTCCCTCCTAAAAACCTTGAAAGTGACCAGGCCCTGACAGAAGAATGGCAGCCTCTTTTTCCAACAACATCTCAGCTTCTACCTTGACCCACTCATGTGTAAACTCAGTGTAAAATATAAGCAGTTGAGGTAAGAGATGTGGAGGAGGCCCTAAATGTCCATTAATAAAGAATTATAGGAAAAAGAAAATGAGGGATTTTCACCGTAACTACCATTCTTGAAAATTTGCACATCTGTGCCCTTCAAGAGCCTCACAGTTGGGATGGGGATGTGGCTCAAGCGGTAGCACGCTCGCCTGGCATGCGTGCAGCCCGGGTTCCATCCTCAGCACCACACACAAACAAAGATGTTGTGTCCACCAAAAACTAAAAAATAAATATTAAAAATTCTCTCTCTCTCTCTCAAAAATAATTTAAAAAAAAAAAAAGAGCCTCACAGTTTTCTGGATCTCAGAACTGGGCTATTACAGGGTGACTGGAACTGACTTTGAAGTAAGTGTGTCCACAAAAAGACCTCACTGTCCCCCCCACCCCTACCAGCCAGCAGAGCCCAGTCTCTGGAGCAGCTCTTGAGCCCCACAGTCCTCCAGCTCACTGCCTGTGCCCCCCGGGAATCCTGACTCTGCAGGACCATGAAATCTGCTTGGTTAATCCCAATCTGTGATTATTTTCATGAAGTAACATAGAAGAACCTAGAAAATATATAAGTATAAATTACTTGAAAGGCTATCACTCTGTTAGGACACAGTGATGACATATGCGTACTAACTGAGGAAACCAATATACAAAAAAAGTGCTTGAATTCCAGGTTTCAACATGAGGGGTTTTTACACGTGGGTCCATTCATAGAACCCCCTCAAGTTGAGAACCTTTCCAGATCATGAGAAGACCTCCTCATGTGCACTCCTGATCAGTCCCTTGTGCGGTGTTTACATTTTTGCCATGGTCATATTGAAAAGAATGGAAACTCTGACAGAGCCTTGTTAGGAATAATTCCTGAGTCTCCATTCCCCAGCTCCATAATCCCCTCTGAGGCTGGCTGAGCCCTAAGAAGGGAGAGAGAGGAATCAGCTGGCAGTGTTCACGTGGTCACAGAAACTAGGTACGTGACTGTCACCAGAAGCCTAGGCAGGCTCCCTTGAAATGGCAGGGCTGCTGTCCAAAATCCTGGTGGGTCATTGCTATTTACAGGCCACCTTTCCAGTTCATGGTGGATGGCCCAAGGAGGGCTATTTTTAAGCAGGGATATGGCCTGCAGGGCCTTCTGGGTGGCAGATTGAGCTCATAGAAGGCGAGACAGTGTAGCCATCTACTTCAGATGGCCTGATCCTGAACAGAAATGTGATTGCTATTATCTCTGAATCCAGGCCTCAGACAATAAGCTGGAAGGAGGTCCCCCTAGCCTCTGGCTGAGGTCCTGATTAGCAGCTGGGGAGAAGCAGCTATAGACAGCTTTTCTCTCCACTTTGGCCTGAGAAGTGCATTCTCCAGAGCTAACAGGGTCCCCAGGATGGTGCTCCTGACAGAGGGGAGAAGCAAGTCACCCAACAGGTACACAGCCTCTCCTGCTGGCCCTTTCACCCTGAGGCCAGGTCCTACAGGCCTGAGTAGCTTGCAGATTCTCAAGAATCCCTCTGAGAACCTCAAGGGGAGCAGTCTGAGGAACTGGGTAGGAGGGGGCAGACACAACTCTGCCTTTTCTCTTTATAGGGGAGAGAACCATTTCAGAGAAAGGGCAGTGCCAGAAAAGGCCCAGGGCCCAGTGGAAGAAGAGTCAGTGGCTGGCTGTCAAGGGCACAGCTGGGGGAGCCAGTGCTTCCTGAGTCTGAGACAGGATTGGCCAGGATGGACCCCGCAGGCCCCGCCCAGCACGAGAGCCTCTTCAAGGCCAGACTCTGCCTAGAGCTCCTGTTACACTTCTTGGCTGTGTGCAGGCAGCAGGACAGGACGTGGCAGACTCCCGCTTCAAGGTCAGTGAGACTATGAAACTCTGCTTTATTTCTCCAAAGAGGGAGAATTGCTAGAGCCAGTGTGAGGGGGTTTGGAAGAGTAAACCCAGGGCTGTGGACCAGGAGCAAGTATAGGTCAGTTGCTGTGGGCACTGCACATGTGTGAAGAAATAATGGTACCTGTTAAAGAAGCCAGGAGAGTGTCTGTCCTTGACTCAAGCCCACTCTTCCCTGTACACAGGCAGGGACAGCTCAGCAGGAGATGCCAGAACCATAGTAGCACCCTGCTCAAAGTGCCTCTATTCGATAATGAATCAGAATTTTTCGTTGGGAAAAAAGCTATAAATGTAGATTTTTTATGTTGCACTTAGGACATTAAACGTCAGGTTCCTTTTCCTTGTAATTTATAGAGACAACTTCACTTATTTCTGGGAATGTTTTTACTTGACAGCATCAAAAGAGGTACAAAATCAATCAACCTAGAAAATTAAAATTTTTGAGGACTTCAAAAAGAGCTGATTAATTACCAATAAGCTGAACCCAATTTAAACTGTTTGCTAGAGATTCATTTTTAAATTCATGAATATAATGAAAAAAATGAGTCAAGGAATTGTTTTCCCACCCTCCTTTCTACCAAAACCAAAGCCAAAAAAAAAAAAAAGGCTTTCTACTTGGGCTGAATGTATTTCATCTCTGGCAAAGACCTGCTCTTGGCTTACTGACTTGCTTGGCTCTCAGAGGTCACTTCTCTTTCACTGTGTGTGGGTGGCATCTCTACCTTCAGATGCTCTGCTTTAAGGGTGTGGAGAGTGACAGTTGCCATACAGTCCACAAACTTTGGCTCTTCTCAGTGCTGCCCTTCCCCACAAACCTTGCCAGAAACACTGTGGATTGCTCTGTGACCCTTCACAGAGGAAGCTGGAGTCGGCCAGGTGGCAGCGGAGCCCTCATGGCAAGGCCACACTTGTGGTGAGCTGTTTCCAGAAGAGTGGCTCTTCCTGCTGCAGCTCTCATACTTTCTGTTTCTGAACTTGTGTCCTTGATCTGCTTCCTCTGTTCTCTCCTGGAGAACTTGACCACCAGCTGGTGGCAGGAGGCTGTTTAAAGATCATTAGAGGGACCTCTTTGAGTGTCATTAAGCTGTTGGAGCACTTCATTTGTGCTCTGCATTGACAGGCACCTCTTCCAAAGACCCAGACTCTGGAGTTAATTCTGACCATAGGCTAAGGCACAGGAGTCCTTACATCCCTCTGACTCTGTCAGTTTCACAATCAAATCACAGCCTCAGGGAAAAGGCCATGGGCCAGATTTTATGAGAAGGATGATTGAAGAAGGTTCGGGAAACCATGGACGGTGGGATGGTATGGATGGGGAGTCCTGGGCTTTCAGGGGGAAGAGGAGCTAACTCTGAGAAAGACTTTGCCCCTAGCTCTGAAGCTCTGGGTTTCCATTTCAGTCACAGTCTAGAAAGACACCCACCTGTCTCCCTGAGGACTCTTGGGAGCCTATGTCCAGCATTCTGGGAGGTCCTGCCCACTGAGCCAGGCATCCTAACGGGAGTCCTGAAGGTGACTGATAGAGGTCACACCCACTCCTGCCTGGGAGGCCTCTGAGACAAGACTCCCCTCAGTGGAGAAGAAGGCACGCTACTGTTACAGCCGGGTGAAAGGCAAGGGGGCTTCCAGCTCTCTTTTCTTGAAGATCTACCCTTGAGAAACAAGTCTGGTAATAATCCGACATCGTTATCACAAGGGGGCCCCATAAAAGGGCTCTGTTTTGCAGGAAAGGAAAAATCAACTGTTCTTGCCTATGAATTTCTACTTGCTGAGTAGGACTGAGGAGTCTGAGGGTGCTCAGTAAGGTGGACTGTGCTTAGTGGTTGTGAGGTAACTTGATCCCTTTGCTCTCTTAGATCTGGGAGGGGACAGCCAATTTCTGCTGGCCTAGGACACCTGGCATCATGGGATTTTGCTCAGAGTGTCCTGTGGAGCTGGTCCAACCCCAAGGACGTCCTCGTTTTGGGGTGACTCTCTGGAAGGAAAGTTGACACATGGTCCTTCCCCTGCCTTTCACCTGTCCTG